ACTGAGAGACAGCTGAGCCATTATCAGTCGAAAGAGGAACAGCCCTGAAATACTATGTTGGGTGATCTCTGGCTGAAATTCAGTAGAACTAAATGAGCCAGGAGGTACTAAAGAGTGAAGGGTTCAGTCCTTCGGTGCAGTGTTGGATGGACTTTGGGATCACCGTATCCCAGCAAACAGATTCCCCTTCTAACAGCAAGGCCTATGTGCAAAATGCATATGTGGTGGGGAAAGGGCTCCCATTGTCACCTGCAAATACTGTGGCTTTCTGCTTCCTCTAACCTTGGCTACTTGTAGGGGCTGTGGGATTCAGGCTTACAGATGACTATCTACCAATCAGTCTGCCTGGGCCAGAGCTCCTGCTCTTGCCCTGAAAAAGCTGATTGTTCCTTGGGTTCACAGCAAGAAAATTAGGCAAACCTCTATAAACACTGCTGAGTGCTGCCCTCGGTTGAGATTCCAGCCAGAGAAGGTGGAGGGTGAATAAACCCAGACTGGTGTCGGGCCAAGTGTGTAGGATGATTTTGCCTGCAGACGTGGAGCAGGAGGTACAGTGCCTCTGCAGCTGGCAGGAGTGAGGCAGAGCAGCAGCCAGGACCAGCTCCAGCATCTAAATTCTACTAAATGTTAGAACCAGTTGCTCTGAGTTTCCAAAGCGGGTGTCTTGGCACGGGGCCAGCTCAGAAGCTGCAGATTTGCTGTCCTCCCTCTCAGGCACATCACTCAGCCGCTTGCTGTTCAGAGCCCAAGTTAGACAGAGAAAGGGGCTCAGCTCTCTCTGGATGAAATAGGCCTGACAAATTGTCAGAAGAAGACTCAAAACACCATTTTGTCACGCTGGAGTTCTCACGTACAAGGGGGCCTTTTTATCCTTAACCAAATGCTCGCTGTGCCTGCAGGTGCTCCTACTGAGGAGCAAACCCAGCTCTCTCAGTTTGCTCAGACACATGCTCACATCTTCAAAGGCACTGGAGTGTCCCCTACAACAGGCTGGGAGCAATGTCTGAGGCTTTTCCTAACCGAAAATCCCCAATTTGCAAACTGTCTCGAGCAAATTGCTGCTCACTGGGGCAAAAGCTTGAAAACTGATTGCACGTTCCTGTGGTGTAGCAGATTTACCTGTGGGGGTCATTTATCACCTCCAATAGCTGCAGAATCAGAACAGATGTCTGGAGCACTAAAATCTAATTACTTTTATTTATACTGGATTTCACAGCCTTTCAACAGTTCTTTCTCCCCATGCCCCCCCTTCTTTGTAATTCCACAAGTAAAACCAGAGCCACTAGTCTAGGGGCAGAAGGCTTCCCAAAACAACCTTTCTGTCATAATAAGCAGTAAGGCAGAGCTGTGTCATCCCGCAGTTTCTCCTATAAAACAGAGATGGTTGCATTTTCTTATTTGTTTTGGCAGTTAAGGTGCATACAAGAAGAGGTGGAAATGCTCAGATGTTGTCATGAGACTGCACAAGACAAAGATGTTTTTTGGTCCCATGCCAGGCAGAGCTGATGTTTCAGGAGTTTGAGGATTTCTGAAAATCCCACACTTCCATGAAGAGCTTCAAGTTTGAAAGTCTTTGCGGTTACCCATATCTGCTCCAGACGAGATAAAAACTCATAAAGATATGACACCAGCCAGCTTTTACAGCCCATGTTAATGGCTAGAGGAATGAGATCTAGATCAGGTTTTGATCTATCTAACTTCCCACATGGAGTGCAAGATGTGGTTGCTCACAAGTCTTGCAAGGACGGTTGACCCAAGCCATGCTCAGAGCAAGTGTGAGTGATTGCTGCGTGCCCGTCCTGCTGCTCTGCCTGTGCTGCTCCCACAGCTCTTGTCACCCCTGCTCAGCATCATCGCTCACAGCTCCAAACGTCCCCAGAGCACTGCCTTCTGGAGAGAGCCACACAAGGCCATCCTGTACTGGCAATGTCGGTGTAATATTGATTGTGACAGGAGGGAAAGCGAGAGTGGAGTCCCTGATCTCTCCCCGTTTCCTCTGACACCCTGCAGTGTGTGCTGCAGGCTGTGTCCCAGGGCAGGGCAGGGCACAAGGGAAGGACATCAGCACACAGTGACACAGCTGAGGTGCTGCCCAGGGTGTCGTGCAGTGTGATGCTCCCTCAACACTCCCTCAGTGCCTGCAGGCCTCTGCCAGGCAACAGGAGCTCTGGGCACCTGAGGCCAAGCAACAGGGATTGTCAAAAGCACAGAGACCCCTGAAGCTTTTGGTGTTCCTGAGTTAAGTACTCAAACTGAACACACAGCGGGTCTTTTTCAATCTAGATTGACATTTGCTTTGAGAAATTAAATCTTCCTGAGATGTCAGCACTGACCTTTTTTTGCATCCTCCGGAGATTTTCTTGCTTTAAGCAATTAAACTCCAGAGCTTTCCTGCTGTTCTTGCTATGCTTCTCTATGAGTAGCCTCAGTCCTCCTCCATGGGTGAGGCACTGAGATAACACAGTTACTGTTTCTTCAACACTCCCATGATCCTGGTGCCACCTCCTTAATGCCTTTTCAATTCCTTTGCACTTTGCATTTCAGTGCATGCTCTATTCCTCATGGATACTGCTTTTTTTCTTCAAGACCTGCAAGTGTCCACAGCTTCCCACAGGCAGTTAAAATAATCTCCAAATACCTGGATTCAAGATTCAAGATTCATACTAAAGTGGCATCATTTGGCTCACTTTGAAAGCAAAGCAAGCAAACTATACATATAATCCTAATTAGGTTAAAAGGAAATGACCCTCTGTCCATGCTAAAGGGCAGTCATTTATCTGAAATTTTAAAGAGCTAGAAATGGCTCAAAATACTCCAGCTTCTGATGCTTGAATAGAAAAGAAGCAAGCAGAATTCTCTTTAGCTGCTTTGGAGAGCAATATCTGTTCTTAACAGTCTGTTTGTACAGACCACAACAAGAGATGAGATCCATTAATGGGAGGATTCCTGGTACCTTTCCCACTGGGAGGATCTATTCATTGTATAGCTAGCAATGCTTCCCTGAGCACCAGAAAATACAGTTCTGAAGGCAGGGGGGAGGGCAGCACCTCCCCTCAAGCATGTCATTTCAAGCACCACCTATGCCAACTACATGCACTGGAAATACCTCCTTGTGGTGCTGCAGAAGCCTTTGTCCTTTACTGGATCATTCTGCTCTGATTTCAGACAAGATTTGTCCATTTATTCCATTTTGAATAACTTGTTTGCTGTGCAGTACCATACTTGCCTTGCTTGTTTTTTGGTGAGATTAGAAATGTAGCCCTTTCAATGAAAGTTGACTTTAATATTGAGAGAGCCCTAAAAGCAGCATAAACTGGAACTACTCCATGACAGCAAGCAGCATGTGGTGTATCTGTGGATCTTCATTTACCGGTTATATTTACAGATTGCACTGAAACTACCAACTCCCTGTCATCCTGTGCACATGTTTTTTTATGGGATGACTTTGGGGACTTTCTGCACAGTCCAGAGGTACAGTTTATGGGTATCATAAGAGTAGTTTCCCATGAGATTGCAATTGTAATACACATACAGAGAGACAGAGGGGGAGAAAAAGCCAACACCACTTTAAATACCTTGCAGTTTTACTGTAGGCAGGCTGCATGTGCTAAATGTGTAAGAAGTCAAGCA